GTTTGGGAAATCTGGGTGCTAAACTCACTTTAAATACTACCTTACAGCACCTTTGGTTGCAAATGTTTCATAGGAAACCGTCCATCCTGAGTTGAACTGGAATGGAAGAATCTGGTGTTTAACTTCTTATGCTACATAAAGGTCCAGTAGATATTGTGATCTCAAGCTAGAGGTGTACACAGTTGAGGAAAAAAAAGATATCAATTCTATCATGACGTGTTTTCAGATCAAAATCCCATATGGTTTTCAATCATGGAATTGTTTTTCATAATCCTTGTATTAGGGTTAAATTTATTTTTATTATGTTAAAAGCTTTGGTTTTGTTCATACAAAATCTGGAAGTAGAATGTCTAGACTTTGAATTATATTAAATCCACTGCAATTTATCCAAGGATTATTTGTTTGGGGTTATTTGTACAGAAGTGCCATTAATGTGTTGAGCAGTTTGTTCCTGGACAGCAGGGACATGACAGTCAGCTGTAACTTGAGGGGAAACATAGCATTTATTACGTGTCTTACTCAAATGTTATGCTATTTTAATGATTGCAATTGTTCTTAGTTATCGTTGCATTCAAAACATTACTTCTGGGCATGTTGATTGGACAAACAGTCAAATTAAGATGTATTTGATATGCCTGCTGGATTTAGGTACTGTCCTAAAGTAGAAAGCCTGGTGAAATGTTTTAGTGAAAAGTGCAGATCGTAGTCTCAGCTGTGGTTTAATGGCAGTTGGAAACAATACCATAGAAGGTCAGGCCTTTCTCCAGATATTTTCCAAATAATGAAGGATTAGGATTAAGGCTTGATAGTGTATTTGGAAGTCATATGATTTTTCTCCCAAATTATCTATGTTTTTTTTATATAAACCAAATTAAAAAAAAACAAAAACACACCAACCACACTCGCATTGTGAAATAATACCTTTGAAAACTTACTTTACTATTGACTGCGATGAAAAGGCATTGTAGTAAAAAAAAGTTGCACTTATTTACTTCAGTATGATAACCCTGGTAAGGATTTATTATTGCCTCCAAATGTAAAGATATTTCTGTGTTTTCTATATGTTTAGATAGAAAATATATTTATATAAAAATGCAGAGTGCAAACGGCATAATTGTTAATCGAAATCAACAACTTTACCTAAGGTGCACCTCCTCTTAGTATGATGTTATCGCACATTGACACCATAGCTCGTAAGCATGCTTCTAGCAGTAAATCCAAGAAGAAATTGTAGTTTGTCGTAGGGGAAATAGCTTTCTTTCATTCTGATGCTTAGTAAATCTTTTTTGTGAGGACAAGAGAAATCGAGATACATGACTTGCAACGCCATTTCATTTGCTCATCTTAGTGATTCTTACTTTTAATCTCATAATAGAGAGATTCATTTTCTGATCAGAGAAGTTTTACATCTGGAAATCTCTAAGTATTTATTGTGTGTGAGTTGATCTGAAGTTTAATATTCCAATGCTTGTAATTGATTTTGGTGCTTTTTGCTTGATTGCAGACCAATGTGAAAGCACTGATGGTTAATGTCACCTTCCCAGGAGCTTTTATTGCATCACACTTGCTCTCCAGTTTTTCTTAGTGACACTTCTAAACTTTTGTCAACCACAAAACCTCTCAGTTGTGGACACTTCCGATGGTTCTGTATGACACATTGCACTTCAACAAACCTTCATGTGTGGGAGGAATGTTTTTAGCATTCATTATTTCAAATCTGTTTTTTCTTAATTTTCAACTTATGCCACTTGCATCTCACAGTATTAGAGAAAGGATCCACTGCTCCTCTTTATCTTACAGGACTTAAAGCGGGATAAACTGCGTAAGACGACTTTTGGGAAACACTTGCTTCCCCAGTGGTCTGTTATTGGGATCATTCTTACGAGCAACTGACTGGTAGCTGGAGTAATGTTTGCCTAGTCCAGTTCTAAAGCAAGGAGGGAAGTTAATTTTTACCAGAGATGGAGAAGTTAATAAGTAAGATTGTAATAATCTTGCTAAAATCTGCTGTCCATAAGTTCAGACATCTAATTTGAATTGGTTGTCTAGGCTCCTGATACAGTAAATAGAGAAAAAGATGTATTGACCGAGGGCAGTTCATTCAGCAACACAGGCCTTTTCCAGAGAGCAATTCATCCTAACTTTCTTTTATCCTTATTTTCAGTCGGATTCAGAACTAGTTAAAATTAGACATTGTATTTTCACATGGCTGATGTCACTTGAGGGGAATCTTACTCTTGTTCACAGACCAAATAATTCTAAAATACAAGTTACTTTTTATTGAAAACAATTATGAATATCCATGTATTTCTTAAACAGTGGCACAAACTTGTCTTTGGACTAATTACAGAGAGACTAGAAAATTTATTCTAAGAAACTTGGCTGTTGCAAGCACGAATTTGTTTTAAGTGGCTCACAGTTAATTTTGTAAAATCCTAGAACTCTTTTGAGGTAGAAGATAAGTTACATATTTAGAAGACATATATGCACAGGGGAAGCAGTTGCTTATGTAAATGCAAGGGCACTTGTGTATGTTTTGGGCATACAGGCTACAAAGATTAGGCAGAAGAAAATAACATAAAAAAGAAGAGCAACAGGAAAATTATTTGGGGTCATCTTTTAAGTTGTTTTACTGACAATTATTAATAATGCAAGTGCATGGGAAATTGTTTATGTAATTTAGAAAAATAAGATGTCACCAAGCATCAGTGTCAGGTCAGAGCTTGCAGTATGGGTTACATAGTAAACTCATTTCTTAGAACAGTGGAGATTTTTGAAAATTTGTGGTACATAACAGCTGCTCAAAGCCAGTCTTTTTCAGGTGTAACATGTTGATATGAAGTCATACTGTTGCCCTCTACTGGCATCTGCTGAAAGCTCTTACTTATCACGTACTGTGGTCTCCATGATTAATTTCTGAAGGACACTTAATCCATTTCAGACAAACTCAAACCCATCCTTTTGAAAGCAAAATCTTTCACTTTAAAGACACTTTGAGCTTGGGGAAGAGAGGGATACAACTCCTACCTGTCAACACTTATCTGCTTACAAACTGCTGAAAGCTTTAAATTCTACATTCAAAAGCACTACAACATAAAAACACTGACTGGATTAATTAAATATTTGAGTACTGACAACTGTTGGAATGTTTGTATTTTGGAGGCATGGATTAAAGACATGGAGGGTCATGAGAGAGAGTATCATATTTCAAACTGCTCAGTGAAAACACAGCTATAACACAGTGATTGTTGTCATTATCCTAAAAAGAAAAAAAAAAAGCCAAATTCGCACAATTGTGCTTTCTGAGAGATGGCAGAACACAAGAGAGAAAAATATTTGTATTTCACGAATACTGTGTTACACAGTTTTTTTGCTGCTGTCATTAACAGTTATCTAAACAGTAATAAAAGAGAACAGAATAGTCTATCTACTAAATAGGTTGTTTTTTTAAATCCGTTTACTTAAATAATCGTCTGATCTCAGCTGCCCTCTAATCTCTACACAATCTGTGACTATATGGAGATTTTAGTACAACAGTGACTATCAGTTGATCATCTGTACTGTATTCACAATCAGTCCTTCTGAAGAGCTGTTTCTGTAAGCTGTCTCCATTACATACTTTTTGTGATCCTTTGACATCTTCCCAAGAAAGAAAACATCCAGTATCTTCCCCCTGAGTGATCATGGAGGAACACCTCATGCAGAGAAAAGATGAGAAGAGGGATGAGGCTTCCTTTCTCCAAGTCAAGATGAATATCCCTTTTATTAGGGACTGTGGGGCTTTAAATGTTTATCTCTGTTACTGCCACTCTCTTTACACTCTGATCTTTGGCATATCAGTGAAATATGTCTGATTTTTTTTTTTATTATTTTTTTAACTGTAAAATGTGGTTAGTCTTACTTACCTATTTTCCAGGATTGAGTATGTGTGTTAATAAATGTTTGACATTTAGACTATGTTAAATCTCCCTACACATGCAGATTCTCATGAGTGGAAGACTGTATTGACTTAAAATAGCCGTTGCTTGTATTTTCAAAGAAAGGTTTGTTACACCTTCAGCATTATGATTGTGTAGAAACAATTCCATTTTGTTAATCGAAAAATAGTATCTTAATTTGTAGAACAATGTTTTTCTACTAGAAACAACCTGATATTTCCTTTTAAAGTGTTGTGTACAGAAAGGGGAGGCAATCGACTCAGATTCCAGTGCATTGCCTAAAGAGTTAAAAATTAAAATGCCCTTGGGAAATGATAAAGCTTTATCACTTCTTCCGAGTTATGGAGCTAGCATAGAAAGTCTTCACTCCTTGATTCTGAATAGCTCAGTATCCACATTACACTAATGCGAGTTTGGGAAAATTGATGCTAAATGACACCAGTTTAATGGAGCATTAAACTAAATACCTTTAAGATATGGGATGCTGCAAGGGAGATGCTAAGATCCTTCTGCTTCCCTTTCAGTCATAAATTACAACACAAAAATTGCAGAAACTTTTGATTAACTAGCTTCTAAGAGTTAGTTCAGATACAGCATTAAAAAAGAGTAGATTTTATATTTCATTGCGATTCTGACACCCAGAGGGCTCTAAAAACAACTAGATGTGAAATAGAAGAAAAATTTGGGAACAGTTAAGGCCTAACCATAAAAACGACCATGTGTAAGTCACTGTAGAATGTAGTTTGGACAAGGGCAGTAGGTAGTGGGTTTTTGGTTGGATTTTTTTTTCCTTTCTTATTTTTTTTTCCCCAAGGCTCTCTGTATGATATATTACTAGAACAAAACCAAGCACTGAAGAGTAATATTTCCATCTAGCCCTGCACCCTTCTCAGGTGGACCTTTATTTGTAATTTTCCTAATGTGTAGGTATCTTCTTGTTTGAACTGAGTGTGAAGAAAAGGCCAGGAAAAAAAAGTACTTCTGTTTGACAAATAATTGTGCTGCAAGGCCTGCATGTACTGAGGCCATATTTATGGATTCTAATGCTTTTCTTGTTTTCAGGTGAGCGTCCTTACCAGTGTCCCTACTGTGACAAAGCTTTCAGCAAGAACGATGGATTGAAGATGCATATTCGCACCCACACAAGGGTAAGTCCCACACAGGGTAAGTGTAGCTCAGTTTTTATGGTTACTTGAGAATCCTCTATGAATCATGTGTGGAGAAAAGTAAATACTTACTGTTTGTTTGTGTAGAGATTAGACTATACCAACTAAAATATTTTATACTTATCAAAACAAGAGGTGAAGATTTAAGTCATTAACTGTGAAATTCTAATTATGACTCCCTTACTGACCTGCTATTTTTTCTGTGTTCGATTTCTTGTAGGTTGAGATAATAGCAGTACTAACTTCTTCCTTTAACCTGTGGTTATTCATAGGTATAGATTAATGTTTGTGATTGTTTACTGAGTAAACAGTTCTGTAAAGACTTCATTATTCTTGAAACTTCAATATCCAGTGCTTTGATTCTTACTGACTCCTTAAAATTCAGTCACTGTGAGCTTTTGTAGAGACTGTACTTTACTCACTGATGACAAATATTAAGCTGAAAAATTACTTTATTTAACTGAAGGCAAAACAAGAGGCAAATGGCAGATGTCTGCAAGAGTATTTTTGAACCTTGAATCTGTTACCACAAAGATTCCTTGTTTTAGAGAAAAGTCTTGTCATGTATGTATATTTAAGTAAAGGACAAAGGCGAGATCTTGGCCCCACTCAGCCAGCAAAGAGATGGAGAGCTGTCTTCAAACAGCCAGATGTGAATTCTCTTGGTAAAGGGAGATCTCCAGGTGAAGTTAAGCTGGACTAGCATTCCATATGCTGCCTGCCTCTGGCCTCCCCATCCACCATAAGAAAACAAACAAAAAGTTAGAAGTAAAGTGCAGCTTTTACTAGTAATCCCTTGGGAGCTGTTACTGCATACGGAAGTCAAGGCAGCCTTGAGGCCAAACCGAGTTTTTTGTCTATTAGGAAATAGGGAGGCTGATAGTTAAGTTAGTAGTCTCCATATGCAGATCTGTGCATATAATAGATTTCTAAATAAGTAAAGATAAGATCATAAATGTTTGCTTAATTTTCTACCATTCTGCCTAGGTCTTGAGATATTAACTTCGGTCCTAGATAAAGTTCTAGCTGATGTACCACAAACTTGACTTTAGAAGTTATCAGTAGTTTGTGCAGTGCTTCCTGGTGGTTCACTGGGAGTAGGCTGTTCCCGTGTTGCTAGCTGTTTCTCCTTCTTTCCAGCTGTTTAATCACTTTAAGAAGTGCTATAAAATCTTTTCTGTTCTTACTGTCCCATATTACTGGTTTTGCACCAGGAGAAATTTCATTACCATTTATATTCTACATGACTATGAGTGGGAGGGGTAGTAAACAAGACCAGCTCTGAAATTGTACCAATTTTAATTTTATCCTGATTTGTCATACAGTTTGAGTAAAAAACCAAACCCCCCAGCCTCTGTAGAAGACAAAAAAATAGAGGAAAAAAAAGAGTCAGAATAGCCCTTAAGAGGCTGTAATGATGTATCTCTGTTGATTAGTGACTTACACCAAGTGATGAAATCTTCCAAAATGCATGCTCATGAGTGAAGGTAGAGAACTTTATAAACATTATCTTCATTGCTTAAAAGCTGTAAATTAACCGATAGCAGTTATTTACAGCAGGATTGCATATCCTACAGCCTTAGGAAATGCAGTACTTCAGTGGGGGATAACTCTGCGTTTCATTTTTTCTGGATAGTTGTTTGCTTTTTTGTGTACATCAGTCCTGATTACCCACACAGTGCAGATAGTAAAGGACTCAGATATATTATGTTAACGATTAAAAAAAAAAAGGCATTTCGAAGTAGAGATTTTGTAATTGTACTGAATGGGAAGCTTACAGTTGCTGTTTAGCTGAGTGTACTTTATTGGGATGTTTCTTGCTCTTAGCTGTACTCTGAAACATAATTATGCACCTTAGTAGAGAATTTGCAATTTTATTGTTGCTTGGCTGCTTGCTTCTGCCTCTTTGATGTAACTTGTTGCTTACATGTATTCCATATGTTATCATTTTTTGCCTCTGTTATATGTAAGCAAATAAAAAAAAATGAAAAAAATATTGAAATCTGCAGGCTGGCTCCAAAATGCTTCTGTAAAATTGGACTGAAAGACAAACTGAAGACTTTACGTTAATGTTGAAACAGGAGGAAAAAGAAAATACTTTTAAACACTGCTTATGAATGACAGAAGAACAATCCTACTAATCTTTGTTATTTAGCTAATAGGAAAAGGAAGAGTTAGGAAAACAGATATTATGGGGTGGAGATTTCTTTTTAATATATGTAGACATCATAATTAGACATATTGATCTAAGATCATAATTGCACTAAGAACATAATAAAATTTGATTTTAAAATGTCTCAAAAAATGTTCTTCTGTATCAGGTAGTCCAAAATATCATCCTTATAGAAAGAATGAACTCAGTTCACACCAAATGTGATACAAGTGTTTCCATATACTTGACATGTCATGATCATCTAGATCTGAACAGGTCATATTTCATTTTTTTTCTGTGTGTGAGTGTGCTAAGCAGACTACTGGAAATCAGAGAATCATAGAATCGTTAGGGCTGGAAGGGACCTTCAAAGGTCATCTAGTCCAACCCCCCTGCAAGGAACAGGGATATCTCCAACTAGATCAGGTTGCTCAGGGCCTCGTCCAACCTGGCCTTGAACGTCTCCAGGGATGGAGCATCCACCACCTCTATGGGCAAAAATCTTTATAGTTGTACTAGAGGATTAAAATATGTAGGCATTACATGATTTTTTTTAGACCTCGGTTTGGGGTTTTGATTCTTTTTGTGGTCATGCTATTTATATGCCACTCCTGTTCGAAAGCTTCATAGTGAAGATCATTCTTATATGAATGGCGTTGTATATTAATTTATCCCCAAATAAATATTTTTTACTTTGAGGTAATAAGAATAAATATTGATAACATTAACATTACTAGCTTATTTTGAAAACTAAAGCCTGTTACTATAACCTTTCTTCTTCCAAGTTTCCCTTTTCCTCACACTTCAACACCTTGCTCAATATCTAAATAGAACTGAACAGCTAAAAATATTGAAGTCTTAGGAGGAAAAAAAATTTGACTAGTAGTATTAATAAGAAAAAATAGAACAGAAAGCAAAGCTTGTCACAAACTTTCACAGATTTTGCATTCAGAAGGAATGGTTATGCTGAGTCTGTTCTTCTGCAGAATGTTATCCAAGCAGTACTGTAGGATAATAAGCTGTAGTTTAATCATTCAGATAAGTAAATATTAGTACAGGTACAGGAGCATAAATATGCATTTTAAGTAGTGTGATTCAGACATAAGTGGAAGAGAACAGAGTGGTGAAGGAAGTATGGGTTTTTGGAAGGAATGAGAAGGAAGAGGGAGAGAGAAAATATGGAGAGGTAAATTGAAAAGAGGCCATTATTTACAAGAGCACTTGTGTGCTTGGCAAGAATATGAAGATTTATTAAATGTTTGTAGTAGGTTGGTGCTTGTCAGGAATGTAGTGGTTGACATTCAGGATCTAATTAAGACACATTGAAAAACTTAAGTAATTGGTCCTTGTGTGTTTGGTGGTGTTTGTGCATGATGGATGCCCCATCCCTGGCAGTGTGCAAGGCCAGGTTGGACGAGGCTTTGGGCAACCTGGTGTAGTGGAGGGTTTCCCTGCCCATGGCAGGGGGGTTGGAACTAGATGATCTTTAAGGTCCCTTCCAACCCTAACCATTCTACGATTCTATGATTTTTAACTTGGTCGTGTATTGAGAGGAAAAAAGCTTGAAAACATTATCCAGGAAACAAACAAAAAATGCCCATTTAGTAGAGAAAACAGTTGTTTAGTATGTAGGTCATATGACAGTTTTGTAATACCAGATCACCTGCCTTGAGGTTTCTCTGAACACGGGGGTGCTAGCAAAGCTGCAGTCTGTGCACTGAGATGCAGAACTATCGACAGTTTTTGCCATGTACTTTTAAGACCAGGCGTTACTTCCTGAGGCGTTCTCTTTTTTCCTCTTTCTTACCATTTCATTCTCAAGCAGGTACATGCTACTTGCTGGAGAAAAAATTGAGAATTCTCCAGTAGTCTTGTTCATTTAGTCAGATTCTCTCTTTACTCTGTTTTGTAAGAGGTGCTTAAGAATTATGGGTATTAAGATGTTTTACTTTACGAGGTTGACAACCTAACATGTTTGTGTGTAGTACTGATAGTTGAATTTTCAGCTTTGAACATTTCAAATCTTTAACCAAGACTGATACAAGCTGAACTGAAAATTCTGAGCTATTCATGCGTGTCTTTAAGTGAAGACATGCGGTCACATTGTAGCACCTCTCTGGTGCTCAGGGTAGTCCTCTTCTAATTCTTCTTTCTGGAAATCAGAGACTATGTGTGTTTGAACAAGTAGGGCAGTAGCAGGTAGGTAAAGTGAGACAGTTGATGCCGAGGACCTGATGTTTATCTTGTATGTGTTTCAGGGATTTTACTGCAGATTATGTGTAGTCTGGTCCTACGGACTGAATACACAACAGCCTTCCCTGGAATGCATTAAACCTTCTGGTTTAATTTTTTTCCAAAAGGAATCCAGGTCATGTAGTCCAACACATTTTGAAAGTGTGCACCAAAGCACAGTAACAGGAGACGTTTAGGAAGTGTGCTTCAAATGCACACACCTGATCAGAGTATAAACACGAAAGGAGATGTATTCTAACTGTACTATGTAAGAACTTTTCTAGTGAAGAAAGATTATACCTGTGCAGAAATATCTTGAAACTCCTCAGCATGATACTAATTCACTATAACTTGTTCTGTGATCCTAGGCTATTTAAACAATGAGAAAACTAAAGATTAGGAAGTTAAAAAATGTAATGTGTTTGTTGATGTTCAGTTCTAAGAACAAGAAAAGCCATGAAATCACACTTGGAATTTCTCTTTTCAGGCATCTGATGTGATGACTATTCAAAAGATTACAAAGACGTTGGCTATTCCTTTTCTTAGCCTTTCCTACACAAACGTTTTATTTTGAGATTTATTCTTTCATGCAAACTAA